GAGAAACTTATTGTGAAAATTTCACCTCAAGCCTAGAATTTTCAAAAAAATAAAGATGACACAGTATAATTTAGGGGAGAACAAATTTTAAAGGGATTAGAAAAAGGATGGGTGGGATTCCATGGATTAGAATTCCATAGGGTAAATTGGCTAGATGTCAAGCACAACAAATTTGAAAAAGTAAAAAACTGTTAATTGCAAGGAAAAGGTTTATTTTCTAAGGAGACTAAAGTAGATGCACAGGTCACCAAGTTCAGATTTTAAAATGACTTTTGCAGAAGTGATGCGATGCAATAGGAAGAATGCTACTTGTTAGTAGCCATACTGACTAGGGCAGCTAGGGCGCTGCAGTGGATAAGTGCTGGTTCTAGAGTTTGGAAAACCTGAGTTGAAATCTGGCCTCATATACTTACTTGCTGTGTGACCCTGGGCAAGTCACTTAACCAGTAAACTGAAATGAAGAAGAAAACGGCAAATTACTCTAATATCTCCATGGGGTCATATATTGATTAAGTGACTGTAAGACAGGTTTGGGAAGTAGTGATGGAAAGAAGCCTTCTCTACAAGAAATGCAGTAACAAAAACATACAGTATCTACACACAGTCCAATCCAATTTTGTTTGGATAATTTGTAATCCAACACTCATTACACAAAGCAAATAAATCACACTCCATAAACCCTTGAGTAAATCCTAATTTGACAGTTTTGTTTTTTATTCCTTCATCTTTTAATCCTCTTTTTCTTCTGCACATGGTGCAGTTTGGCTCCAGTTCATTATCAAAAAACATTCTTTTCAAGATAAGAATTTTTTAGTATTTGGAGGAGTCAAAGCCCTATTCTTGTATTATTGCCAAATCCCTGCAACCAACTGATGAAAGACTCTCCCATCCCAAGGATACTGTGGGAGAGGAAAAAAGGTGGAGAAGTGAGCTCCTCTGCAGTTCAACATTTATTCAGTTTTAGATTATCTTCCTTGTACCCCCTAATTTAAAAAAAATTATTTATAGAAAGAGTAAACTTAAAAAAACCACCTAGATCCCCATTCAAAGCTGGAATTTAGAAAGAAGAATAGCTTTATATAAATGTGTAATCTTTCATTTTAAACTACATCTCCATACCATTGATGCTAATTTTCCTTTTCATTAAATGTACATAGTAACATATTTGATTAACAAATGGAGCTTTGAAAACTGAAAAATCATGTATACATACACATGAATTTAGGGATATATCTCTCTGTCTCTGTCTCTCTCTCTCACACACACACACACACACACACACTTTTTCTTATCTATGTTGTCTATACATTACAAATTACTTTTTTTTTCCCTTTCCTCTCTATCCAAAAACCTCAATCTTTCTTAGCATAGTACAGAATCTGGGGTACATAAGGAGTTTGTCTAAAAGGTGTCTCAGATCTTTCTGATAACGATTTCCCTTTCTCAAAACTGGGTTTAGGGGGTTGGCACATACGGGAAGGGAGAGAGTTGAAAGGAGCAAGTGGTACACACACAAAGATAGCTTGGTTTAATTTATTTATTGGTTACGCTTTCTTCTGTGGTTTTTTGTGTTCTAGGATAAGGTTTTTTTTTGGGTAAAACTTTCCCTTTTTCTTCTTTCCTTCCCCAAGTCTGAGAGTAGAAAATATAACAACAGTGGGGAGTGGTGCTGCATAGCCCTTAGGATTATGCTAGTCCGAAGCCCTCTGAGCACTCCTGTATAGCCAACAGCAGCATGTGGCGTAACTTCTCATAGCTCTCGTAAGCAGGTAGGTCCAGCTGATTAAAACTAGGAAAAGAGATGGGAACACAAATAAAGAAAAGAGAGAATCTTAGAATTTTGAGTGGCTGAACAGAACTATCCTCTCTTCTCCCTTTTCTCTTTCATCCATCTACCTTGGGTTTCTTATTCTTACCAAGTATGAGCTGAAGGTAAGCGGTCTGTGGATCTGTCATCACGGTGAATCTGGAACTTCTGAATACCATTCATTCCTTCAAGTGCTGCAAAGCCCTGAAGAGGTACCTTGGAAGTACCTGTAACAAACTGGAGGAATTTGGCTCGGTCTGCCTGATCAAAAGAGCGAAGAGCTCTCCACAACCACTGAATCTATGAGAAAAAAGCATTTAAGCCCAAGTGTTAAAGGATGTGGGTGGGCAGGCCAATGGGAAGACAGTGGTGAGTGTAAGAAGAAGTACCTTCTGTCTCACACAACTGATGCTCTTAAGTCCTTATCCCCTCTCAAATAAGTGTTTATTCCCTCCTTTTCATCCCAAACCGTTCTTTAATTCCCACTCAGTAAAACAGTGAGTTGGATCACTAAGGTCCTCTCTAGCTCTGATATTCTGACTTTACAGCACTTCTCTAAGGCCTAAAATGGCACACAAGTGGAGAATATGAATTAACATAAGAAAGTCTTACTTGGATGGAATTAGACTGGTACTTGTGATACTCAGTGTTTGATTTTAGGTCATCAATGTCTATTGTGGGAAGTCCTGAGATTAGAAGTTCTAGCTCCTGCTCCGTAAAGATGGATATAAGGCGTTTGGGGATGATTTCATAAAAACCTTCTAGAAAGGCAGCCAGCTGTTTCCGAATTGCTCCTGCAGGAAAGAAGTTATTACTTATGTACTCAAGCAAACCAGTACCCTTTTCACCTCTTGCTACTTTTAATATATGACACTTGTTGTTTGGGTTGCTTTATTATCCCTCTTCTTACAATTTCTTCCAAAATTAATTCACAGATAGTTACTAATACCCTAAAATTATTAATTTTCTTTGTTTAGTTTACATTTACATTTATTTGCAATGGAATGTCATCTGAAGGGATTTTTGTTGTACTACAATTTTCTTAGAAAGAAACTATGAGAATGCTCACTTAAACTTCATTTCAAAGAGGATGAGACCTACAAGAAAGAATAAAAAACTTGCCTGAAGAGTTTACAATCCAATTGAGACATGCAAGATAGACAAAAGAAAGAATGCCTTTTCTTCTACCACCCCTAAGCTGTGGTCTAAAACAATCAGCCTTTCTTGTTTCAGACTAGAATGAAAGCTAATAGCTATTTTTTATATAGTGCTTTAACACATTGCGCTAATTGCTTTTCCATTTTTCCATTCCACTATTTTCCTTTTATCCTCACAATAACCCAAAGATGAAGATGCAATTATTATCCCAATTTTATAGCTGCTGTCTGAGACTATATTTGAATCAATGAGACCCTTAGCTGCCTCTAATTATATCACAATTTAGACTCCACATACCTGTCATTCTCATCTGGCAAACCAAATGTACATATTCCTTTTTGTTCTCCTCAGTTACCAGAATATTAGCTCCATTTGGCTTGAGGTCCCGAACCTCACAGACTCCAAACTCTTGAACCTGAAAATAAGCAACCACGCCACCAAAGGAATTAAAACAATTCAGTTTTACCAAATGAAGCTAGTAGCTTTCTCATCATTATGCTTTCAAAGATTCTCAACTCCAAGCTGGGTAAAGACACTTCAAAACCTCCTCTTCATCTTATAAGAAAAAGCAGAAATTAAATCTCTATCTCTCAGGCCCTTGGG